AGCCACACATGTAGGATTGGCCTGGGTGTGGTTTATTCCCATGCTCGAACTGTTTTACACTGAGTGGTGCTTCACACTTCTGGGATTGTGTCAGGATACTGTGGTGAGTAAGGGAGCAGCATACATACAAGTTTGCCTTCTTTCATCATATTATCCATGTTGGTGCGCCGCACAGGCGTACGCTGAGTTTGGTACCTGTTTCTTCTGTTTTCACTTTGCTTCAGTTGGTTTGATGGCACATAAATGTCTCCACAGCTTCAGTGGTCCTAAAACACGCTCTGAGAGTCGTGTGTTTCCCCTGCTAGCCACGGTTAGCAACCCTAATGCTAACTGTCACTAACACTGTCGTCCTTAATGTCTTGACACGGCTCAAAATGACCGGACACTGTATTAATTCAACCCCTTGACTCTTCACATTATTGGATTTTGTTCCACATGAAGAACCAACACTTTGTTCCTCACCAGAGTTTTAGCCAGATGCTCCATGCCTTTTACAGTAATCTGGTTATTCCTCAGCAGTAAGACCTTGAGACCTCCTTCCTGCCACCTCAGACCGTCACACAGCTCCTCCAAACCTTGGAAACAAGCAGTAAAATATGTTTATTAGCAGACAAACTTTCATTGTTGTCAGTGCTGGAGTTGGCACTTCCAGATGTATGGTGGGAGTGTTGGTTGTAGTGACTCTGATGTAAGTTGCTATGTGCCTTACACATCCGCATGTCTGTATTAGTGAAATAATAATAGTTGGTCTGTGCATGTTTGCAAACTTCATCTACCTGTAATGTTTGAGCAGTAAGGGCTCAGCCATTTATCCTCGTTTATCTTCACCTATGAGTGTATAACTCAGGGCCCATCTCACATCTACACAGTAGACTGTGAACCATGTAGTTCTATGATTTATGTATGAACATTTACCAGCATCTGCTACAGCATTGTTGCTGAGCTCCAGTGTCTGCAGAGTGTTGTTGAACCGTAGCAGGTCTCTCAGATGAAGGGCATCCTGGTAGCTGTTCAACAGGTTATTAGCAAGGTGTAGCTCTCGCAGCGCCTGGTTTGTCTTCAGTGCACCAACTGGAACGGACAAGTTATGACAGGACAACTAAGCTGGCAAATGCAAAGCTGATCATGGCTTTACATTACTTCAGTTATTCTTGCAGGTTAATACGCTGAACTCTAAGTCCTAAGCGATTACCGTAACCTTGAGCTTATGCTACACAGCAATTCAATTCAATTCAATTCAATTCAATT